ACAAGCAGTCCCAGGAAGGGGTGCAGTCCGGCCCCACCCTCACCAGCCTCTCCCCTGCAGTGGCAGCCTGGGCCGGTCTGACAGTGTGGCCAAGATGAGTGCCAAGGACCTGTTTGGTGAGTGAGGTTTGAGGACGGGAGGGTCTCGCCCCTACCCCCCACCCGTAAGGCTGTGCTGGGCCCCGATCAGGGAAGGTACAGGTCAGCACCGGGCACCCAAGGAGGCTCCTGGACCCCAATCAACCAGCCACTGAGGTCCCTCAGCAAAGCTCCAGGCCCCAGGAGCCCTCCCCAACCTCACGTAAGGGGAGAGGCCTTTACTAATAATTCAGGGCCATCAATATTGATTCGCCAAGCTCCTGGCTGCAACCTGATCTGATAGGAGGGGGACTGAGTGCCAGGTGTCCGCTCCAGGAGGGTGGCCTGGCCAGCCCCCTCCCTCAGGCACACCCCAGCCCTGCCCCAGACTAGCAGCTCATTTACGCCTATGGACAGGGTGCCCAGTCTGGAAAGCCAGGAGTCCAGAGAGGGCAGGGAGATGTTAGCCGGCAACCAGGGCCCGGGGATGCCCTGGCCCAACCCCTCCCCCAGGAAGGTGGGGGACAGTCGTCCTGGAGATGGAGGGAGGCCCGCCTTCTGCCAGGACCTTGAGTCCTTCCTGGTGGCCACGAGGGGCCCACAGAGCGGTATCCCTCTCCTCCACTCTGCCCTCCCTGTGGCTGGGGCCCAGGGGTCCAGTCCACTCGGACAGGAGACCCCAGGGCCTGCCCCTGGGGCGAGTGACTGGCGCCTCCCTGTTCAGAACAGAGGAAGAAGTACTCCAACTCCAACGTGATCATGCACGAGACCTCCCAGTACCATGTCCAGGTGAGGCAGCCCCCGGGGAGCACCCTACCCCTCATAGCACCCACCCTCCGTGCTCCAGGGTCCCCACTCTGGGGGAAACAGGCCCAAGGAGAAGTGGTCAGCCCAGGTTTTCTGACACCGGCAGCAGGTGACCAGAGCCAGGGATGTCCCCACACCTGTCCTGGTTCAGCCACAGTGGGGGGGCTTCCCTCCAGTTCTGGGGAGCTCATAGTCTGGGGGTCTCAGGGAGCCCTGGATCTGTGTTGGAGGAGAGAAGGTGCTGGTGGGCAACGCAGCACAGGTGAGGCCAAGCCCTGGGAGCTGTCTGGCAGCCCTCCAACGGGAAGACCCGGCGTGAAGGAAATTGTCACCTTGGCCCCAAAACAAGGAACTGAACTCGAGGGAGACGGTGGAACAGAGACGCCCTGTGTCGGGCTCCCGCAGGGAAGGCCTGACTGACCAGCTGTTCAAGGAGAGTGGAGCCTGGTTAACCACTCCCCAGGCCAGCTGCCAGCGCAGGAGGGTTTCCTCCTGGGTCAGTTCTAATTCACACTTGGGACTCAGGAAACATGTTTTTTAAATGACCTTCCTGGTCCTGGCAGCTGGCCACATTCCTGGTTCCTGGTCATTGTCCAAGTCTGCAGGACAACAGCCCTAGGAAAGGCTGAGGAGAGAGAAAGGTGGGGGGACTTTGATCAGGATGATGGGGGGCCCTAGCCTGGGAAGGTAAGTACTTCCCTCTCCATAGCACCCTCCCTGCCCACAGAGGTCAGGCAAGTAAGTCACTGCTTTCTGAGCCTCAGTTTTCTCGTCTATACAATGGGTCCTCAGAGACACTGGGAGTTCCCCGGGCTCCTGCACTGGGCCGTGTTGAGTGACCAGGCCTCCCCACCAGCCTGCGCAGGCCGGTGACAGCCGCTGACTCAGTGTCCGAGGTCAGGGCGTGAGGGCGGGCGGCTCTGCTCGGTCCCTCTCCTTCTCAGGCAGCTGTGCCACCTCTGGGGACAGGGGGACTTTGCCCTCTTTGGGAAGGAACCACCAGGGCCTCCCAGCCCATCTCCTGGACTTTGGTCCAAGCTGGCCTATGGAAGGACCCCAGCCCGGGCGGCCCCCTCTTCTGCCCTCCCTGCCGCCAGCAAGGCTGGGGCATGGGCGCCGTTTGCCCGCTCCTCCCCCATGAGGAAACTGAGGCACGGAGAGAGGGTGAGAGGTGGTGGCCAGATCAGATCCACCCTGGCAGGTGGGCCTTTTGGTGGTTGTTTTTAAATTAGCATCAGAAAAGTTGACATTGAGGGTGTGGGGGTGCAGTTCTGGGGTAGACATGTGTGGCCACCACGGGGAATGGACTGTCCTGGGCACAGAGAGCTCCATCCCCCCAACACGCCTGGTGCTGACCCGGGGGTGGCAGCCTTCCCCCCCCCACCGGCGGCGGCCCCGTCACCACTGTCCTGAGAATCCCCCATAAATGAAACCCTACAGCGCAGAGCTACCCTTATTTTGCTTCGTAAACTTATTTGAAGAAAACAGGGAGGCAGGGGGTGGGCAGGACTCCTTAGGGCCCAGGCCGCAGGGCCGCTTCGGGGGCCCACTTCTGTCCGCGGGCACAGGCACGTACCCCTCGCCGAAGGCAGGGTCCTGTCCACACACGGGGCGTTCGGCCGGTCGAGTCCTGCGCATCGCTGTCTCTGGATGAGCGGAGATGTTTAATTTTGATGACATCCAATCACATCCATCTTTTTCGTTTATAGTGGTTTTTTTGTTGTTATCGCTTGGCCCGAGGCTCTGGAGATTTCTTCCCGTGTTTTCTGGATGCTTCCTACTTTAGGCTTTTACATTTAGGCCTACGAGCCGTTATTTTATTTTTTAAATATGTTTTTATTGATTTTCTAGAGAGAGAGGAAGGGAGATGGAGAGATTAAAAACACCGATGTGACAGAGAGACGCCGACCGGCTGCCTCCTGCACGCACCCCACTGGGGATCGAGCCTGAAACCCGGGCACGGGCCCTGACCGGGACTCGAACCTGTGACCTCCTTGTTCATCAGAGGCCGTTCAGCCTGCACAGCCACACCTGCCAGGGCTGAGGGCCATGAGTCATTTTTTTTTTTTCCTTCTTTTTACCTTTTTATTGATTTCAGAGAGTTCAGAAGGGAGAGGGAGAGAGAGAAACGTTGGTGATGAGAGTCCTTGACCGTCTGCAGGGCCCCTGCTGGGGATGGAGCCCGGGAACTGAACCTGCGACTTCCTGGTCTATAGGTCGATGCTCAACCTCTGAGCCACGCCGGCCGGGCCGGGCTATGAGTCATTTTAACTCCACTTTCGAGGACGGTGTGAACTGCAGGTTCATTTGTGGTATGGGGCTCGAGGCCGATTCTTCCCCCTTAGTAAGATGCAATTACGCCAAGACGCTCTTTCCCCCGTTGGATTGCGTTGGCGCCTTTGTCACAAACTGGTGAAGGGACCCTGGCCAGGCCCCTATCCCTGGGTCCCCTGTGACAGTTTCTCACTCTCTGTCCTTTCATCCGTCTTGAAATCAGGCAGCCGGAGCCCATCTCGGTTCCTTTTCTTCGAGAGTCTCCTGACGGTTCCCAGTTCTTTGGACTTGCGTTTATGTTGTAGAATCAAGCTGTCTAGTTCTGCCTCCCCCCCCCCAAAAAAAAGTCTGGCAGGATTCTGGTGGGCACTGAGCCAGCTCTGTGGATCGATTTCGGGGGCATTGGCATCCTAGTGGCATTGGGGCCCTCGGATCCCTGAGCACGCAGGAGGGCCCTCGGGTTTCTCTCCGCGGCGCCCTGGCTTTCACGGCCGAGTGCTTGCATTTCTTTGGTTAGAATACTCCCTGGGTATTTGGGTTTTGTGTGCTGTTATAAATGGAATCCTTTTTTAAAATTTCATTTTCCGACTGTCACGAGCCTGTAGAAAAACAACTGAATTTCTGTGACGTACCCGAGTGCCCCGAGTCCTGGCTGGATTCCTTGATTTTGTTTCCGGGGTTTTGCTTGTGGACTCCTTGGGTTTTCTGTGTACGCATCCATGGTGTCTGAGAATAAAGACGGAGCTTAATTTCTTACCGTAGACACTTAAATTTTCTTACTTGATCGCCCTGGCCAGGACCCCCCGGACAACGCTTAACAGAACCCCGGCCTCGCGTCCGGCCTCGGCGTTTCCCGTGATGCGCGATGCGGGTTTTCACCGCGGCCCTTTGTGGACGCAGTTTCCTTCCCTTTCTCGGTGCGCTGAGACGTTGTGTCGTGATAGGTGGTTGGATTTTATCAAATGCTTTTTCTGAATCACACTGATCAGCTTTTGTAAAATATTGAACCCACCTTGCATTTCTGGGGTACACGCCGTTCTCCCCCCACGGGTGTGCATCTCCCGAGCGCGGGGGCCCCCGGGAGACTTGCAGCCCGGGGAGCAGTGGGCAGTGGCTGCTCGTCCCAGGCTCACCGCCCGGACCTGCCCCCAGGATCCCCGTCCTCTGCTTTTCCAGTGAACCAAAGCAGCCCCACCCGGGCGCGTTTCTTTCCTGTGACGTTTCTCGAGAGCCAGGGCGGCCCCACCTAGGCGCTCCCCTGGTGCTGCTTCTGACCCGGCCCCTTCCTTGTTTCACTGTCCCCGGCTTTCGAAAACGTCCTCTCCAAACAAATAAATAAATGAGTGGGACGTGGTCCCGCCTCTGCCTTCAGAAAGAGGCGATGAAAGATTGGTGTGACTTCCTCCTCAAATAGCTGTCGGGGTAACGGGGAGGCCCTCTGAGGACAGGGCTTTCTCTGTGGGACGGTCTCGGTTAGGAGTTTCCTTTCCTGCCTGTGAGGTCTGCGGTGATGTCCCCTCTGTCCTCATGGTCACTGATCATTTCTTTTCTTTTTTAAAAATATGTTATTGATTTCAGAGAGAGGAAGGGAGAGGGAGGGAGAGATGGAAACATCAATGATGAGAGTCATTGATCGGCTGCCCCCTGCATGCCCCCCGCTGGGGATCGAGCCCCAAACCCGGCACGTGCCCTGACCCGGAATCGAACCGCGACCTCCTGGCTCCTAGGTCGACGCTCAACCACTGAGCCAGGCCGACCGGGCTCCTGAAGATTTTCTTAATAACATTTGTTTCTCTAGCTGACTTTATTGTAGGAACACGATATAATATATATATATGTGTGTGTGTAACATACAAAATATGTGCTAACAGGCTGCTTATGTTAATCAGTAAGGCTTCCAGCCAGCAGCAGGCTGTTAGTAGTGAAGTTTTGGGGGAGTCAACAGTAATACGCAGATTTTCGAGTGACCGTGTTGTTCAAGGGTCACCTGTCCTTCCGAATGTTCGTTGTGGCTTCTTTGACCCGTGGGTTATTTAGAAGAGTCTTGTTTAATTTCCAGTTATTCGGGGGTCTTCCAGTTGCCTTTTTGCTGCTCATTTCTAATTTAATTCCGTGACGGTCAGAGAACATATCCTGCGTGGTGTCGCCCATTTGAAATGCACCGACTGTCTTTGGGCCCAGCGGCCTGGTTGGTTTGGTTTGTTTGGTGATGCTGCGTGTTGCTAACAGAGCGGCGGCCTTATATCCCCGTGTGCGCTTCTGCCCACTTACCTCTCTCCCCGCCGACGGACACGGGGGTCGGTCCAGCCTCGGCCGTCACTGGCGGGTCTGCAGTGAGCGGCTCCCCTGCAGCGGGTCTGGCGCGTGTGCAGGCGCCGAAGCAGGACCGTGCGAGTTGGGCGGCTCTGCCCGCGCCCGACCGCTCCCCAGCGGGCTCCCCTGTCCCCACGGCTCAGCCCACAAGGGTCTGTCAGAACCAGTCCTTAAAGGAGGTAAAACACTCAGCGGTGAGCCCTGGCCAGTGTTGCTCCGTCGCTGAAGTGTCGGCCAGTGCACCCCAAGGTTGCAGGTTCGATTCCCTGTCCAGGGCACATACCTGGGCTGCAGGTGTGATCCCCACCCTGGTCAAGGTGCGTGCAGGAGGCAACCAATCGAAGCTTCTCGCCCTCCTTCCCTTCCAGTCTCTCTAGAAATTAATGGAAAAAATATCCTCAGGTGTGGATTTATTAAAAAAAATATTAAATAAGATAGAAGGTCGGTCAGGGGTGTGGTGACGGTGATGCCGTAGCTGGGGAGGGCCTGTCTCAGAGCTGGGGAGGGCCCGGGA